TATTTATTCGTTTGTTCTTTTTTATTTTTACTATTTTCAAAGAAGAGCATTGAAGAATCAGCTTTGCCCACAGCTAGATTGTAAAGTAAACAACACAACTCTCTATATTTATGGCAGGGTTGTCCTATTACAGGGTAATGCCTTTTCTAAACCATAAATTATAGTGTGGCTCCACTGTGAGTCAGTGTAGTGGAATGTGCAAGAGAATGATAAGGCTAATGTAGAAATCCATTTAAAAACACTTACAAAGACCAGAGAATTATTTGAGGTGCAATGCAACAAAAGAGATTCAAATAATCTATCTAGCAGGTACAGGTGAGGGAACAATGGAAGAACCCTGGACATCATGCAAAGAGGCAGCAAAAAATGAAGCTTCCTCTCTTTGAAATATAGGCTGGTACAGGGCCATGTTTTGAGTGAGTCATCTAGTGATTCAAGTGAAAAAACCCTACTTCATAATGTGAAGCATGTTTACAGGTATCATTTTGATGTATACAGGAGCAGAATTATACTCAGATGTGATCCATGTCACATTCATTAACAACCTACCTTGCTACTCTCTCTCTGCTGTCACATTCTATGTTTTCTGTGATTTCTTTTATTATTATTTTTTATTGTTTTCTTATTATTTTAATTTACATGTACAAACAAATATGTATACACATACATAGAAGGGCATACCAAAATCATAATTTGACATATTATCTCGTCTGTATCTAATCCTTCTGGTTTTATATTGCTCGAGCTGTATGAGTATTTTAAACAGCTTTTATCTGTTAGTTGGTAACTATTTAGTGTCTCTCTTTCCTGTTACTTTATATTTCTTAGAAACATACTTAAAGCTGTTACATGCTCTTCTATCAGACTTACACATTACAATAAAAACATAATTACATACCCACAGGAAGTAGTTTGGGGGATCACCTATCTCTTAAATGGGAAGCTTAAAGGACCACTATAGTGCCAGGAAAAAATACTCGTTTTCCTGGCACTATGGTGCCCTGAGGGTGCCCCCACCCTCAGGGTCCCCCTCCCGCCCGGCTCTGGAAGGGGGAAAGGGGTTAAAACTTGCCTTTTTCCAGCGCTGGGCGGGGAGCTCTCCTCCTCTGATCCTCCTCTTCTCCTCCCCGTCGGCTGAATGCGCACCAACGGCAAGAGCTGCGCGCGCATTCAGCCGGTCACATAGGAAAGCATTATCAATGAGACAGCCACTAGAGGGAATGGGGGAAGGCTTAACCCATTCATAAACATGTTTATGAAAAAATGGGTTAACCCTAGCTGGACCTGGCACCCAGACCACTTCATTAAGCTGAAGTGGTCTGGGTGCCTAGAGTGGTCCTTTAATATAGACTTAGTAGTACATGTATACATGTACGTAGATATATTTTCATATCTGACTAAAAAAAGGGTCTACCAAGCCAGATGTATCCACCATGGTATAGACAAATGTGCCTGTCCATATATGCATACGTACACTGTATACTTTTTGAACTCATGCCTACCGATCATATTTTCATTTTATCTATCCAAAACTCACTAAAATCTTTTTTCCTTGGGTCCGTTCCTTGTGACATATAGTTGTGCTTCCATCTTTAGTTGAAAATTTACTTGTGTTAGCACCTTATCTAAAGAAAAGGGTGTGGTAATGTTCCAGTTGCATGCTATAATTATCTTAACTGCTACCATAAAATGAATGAATATATATACTTCCTTATGTTGTAATGTTTTAATATTCTGATGCAGAATAGCGTTCTCCGGGAACCTAGAAATAGGCTTATTTGTTAAATTCTCTAATATATCGAAAGTCTTAGTCCACTGTTCCGTCACTATATCACACTCTCACCAAGTATGAACAAAAGAGCCAAGCCTCCTATTGCATCTCCAGCATATTGACGAACTCAAGTTAAACAATCTAGCTAATCTAGATGGTACGAGATACCATCTGTTCATTACTTTAAATAGGGTTTCAACCAGTTTCAAGCAGTGAAAAATGTGCATGCTTTGGGCAATACTGCACACCACTCCTCCTTGTTAATGTTTATTTTTAAGTCCTTTTCCCACTTCTAATTTTAATAATCCGCTAGTAGCTAATGAAACTACTTTATGAACCTGTTCGTTTTTGAGTAATGAGCATAATGTCTTAGTACCTTCATAGGAATCATGTATAATATTTTGATTCAGATAGTGTTTTACTCTCAGGTAAGTAAGGAGTTCATTATTTGATAAATGAAAATCTTGGATCAGTTGTGGAAAGAGTTTAATTGTTTCATTATCCATTAATTGGTCTATTCGATTCTTACCTTTTTTTTATCCACCTCTTTAAATTTAGATCTTTTACCTAATATGGAATCATTATCACTTTAAGATTTATAGGTATTTTATTTTCTATATATCACATTTCTTTTTAATAACCTTCCATCCTTCTAATATTGAATCCAAGCATATATTAGTTTTTCTTGTTAAGATTATTTGAGGATCTGTGCTCCTGTACCAGAGTATGGAGCGTAGGTCTTTTATACTGCAAATCTCGCTTTCCAAAAGATACCATGCTTCCTTTCTAGCGCTCTCTAGCTGGGTTCTATATAAATGAAAAAACTAATTTTGCTAGATATATACTCACCATCATTTTTGTGCCAAGAGGGTTTTGTTGAACCTGAGTCTCTTACCCTTCCAAATAAAATTAGTAACCGAGCTTTGAATCATATCTAGCCAAGGTCTGTCAACTGTTAAAGGGAGCATTCAAAATAAATATGCCCATTTGGGAAAGAGGTATGCCTTGATAAGATTCATCCTCCCCCACCAAGTAATTTCTACATGTCTTCATTTTTTCACTGATTTATTCATATCTCTAAAACAGCTTAAAAAAATTAGTCTGCATTAATTCGGAAACATCTCTAGTCAACAGAATACCAAGATACGGGATGTTAGTGTTAGCCCAGTTGAAGTTACAGCTGTCATTTATAAAGTCCCTGCTCGCGTTGTCAAGATAATGTCTAAAATTATTGATTTACTCTAATTTGTTTTGTAGTTTGACATACAGCTATATGCCTTTACTTCCTTCATGAAAGCATTTAAAGACGTGACAGGGTCGGTTAGGGTTATGATCAAATCATCCGCATATTGCTTAAATTTTAACTCTATGTTTTGTAGCTTTACCTTTTATTTACTGGTTATTTCTAATATTAATCACCAGTATCTCCATAGATATAATGTACAGTATTGGAGACAATGGGCACCCCTGTCTTGTTCCATTGTAAAGATTGAACCAGTCAGTGCATATATTTGGGCCGACTGTCCTCACCGAAGGGCAAGAATACAAGGACATGATTGCCCAGTGTATCCAACCCTGAAATCTGAACTTTACCAAAACGTTACTCATAAAACCCCAACCAACCCTATCAAATGCTTTCTCCGCATCAACTGCCAGTAGGAGCAAGGGAATATTTTTTCTTTTGGCACAATCTAAGATGTCAATAATACATCTGGTATTATCAAAAGATGTTCTACCAGGAACAAATCCTATTTGGTCCTGATCAATTATGATGTCTAGCGTAGTTTTCATCCTATTTGCTATTATCGCTGAGAAAATGTAAACATCAGTGTTTATAAGAGAAATTGGCCTATAGCTTTCTACCTTACAAGGATCTTTATTCTGCTTTAAGATTGACAATATGTTCACTCTAAGCATTTCATTTGGAAAGTGACCCATTTCCATTACATTGTTAAATGTATCTACTAAATGATTAATAAGTAAATCTCCAAAAATTTTATAAAAAAGATTTGAAAATCCATCTGGGCCTGGAGTTTTATTTTTCAGATTTTTAATAACCTCCCCGACCTCTTGGGCCGTTATCGGGCCATTGAGCATGTCCTTTTGACTCTCAGAGATTTTCAAGGCATTAGTATTGTCTAAATAATTGTCTATGTCTTTGTCTTTTGACGAAAGGGCATATAGCTTACTATAGTATAAATTAATGCAATTTCCAATTGATTTAGGGGAAACATGAACCGCTCCATCCATATCTATTCTAGTGATTTTATTTGTTATGATTTTTTCTCTCAACTTCTTAGTTAGCAGCTTATCCGCCCTATTTCCTTTACTATAGTCCTTCAATCTTAATTTCCCTAAGATCTTAACATTTTTATCCATGATTATATGATTAATCTGTTTTTGAATCTTACTATCTGCTGCAGAGTTCAAACTAGAGGGAGATAATTTATTATTTTTTTAAGCTTTTGATAGATTATCATAAAGTGTTACTAAATCAACTATTTTTTTCTTTTTTAAAATGAGAATTTAAACTTATGAAGTTGCCTCTCAATGTGGCTTTAAAAGTACACCAGTTATTAGCATATGTGGTTTCAATAGGATTGTTTTCTTCAAAAAAACGTTCAATCTGTACCTTAAGGGACTCTAAACTTTTTGCATCATATAATAAGTAGTCATTCATCCTCCATGTAGAGTTATAGTTATTATTCCATTGGTCTTTCATAGTCCACATAATGATGCTATGATCAACCCACGTGCTGTCTCTTATATTATTATGTTATTTAAGCGCCATCAAATTCCGCAGCTCTCTACAATGGGTGGACGAAGAGACATGTAGTTGTAATAAGACAAATTGGACACACAGGAACAGAGGTGTTGAGGGCCCTGCTCAATGAGCTTACATGCTAGAGGGAGTGGGGTAAAATGACACAAAAAGGTAAGGATAGTATTAGACTAATGACAGTTGCAGAAGAGGAATCAGTCTGGAGCTATTAACAGTTTAATTGATATGCTTTTATGAAGAAGTGTGTTTTTAATGATTTTTTGAAGGAGTGGAGACTGGGTGAGCAATCAATCTTATCTATGTTTTCTATGGATATGGCATTACGTGAAAATATGAACAATTAACTCTAGAGAAAAAAAGTATAGTCTAATCTCTCAGGGTTCAAAGATCTCCAAAGATCAAAACAATCAAACTTATTCAAAGTATTAGTAAGAGATTAGGCCATTTTAACTACCGAACTATTCATGCTTGTGTTGTTAGCAAGCTTTTTATCCAAAAAGGGGTCCAAAATGCAGTTAAAGTCCCCTGATATGAGGCATACTCCAGTCTTCAATAATTCCACTTGTTCCAAAAAATGTTTTAAAGTAACCACTGGAAAAGTATTTGGCAAGTATATATTTACCAAAGTATATTTAATTTAGTTTCATTTACATATAATGATTCAGAATCTACCATCCGTATCTGCATATTGATATAATAATTCAAATTTATCTGCATGAGCAATAATAATAGCCACCCCCCTTTTCTTTCTATCTTTAACGGATGACTGTAGTAATTAGTGATGTCGCGAACACGAAATTTTCGGTTCGCGAACCGCGAACGCGAACTTCCGCAAATGTTCGCGAACCGGCGAACCGGGCGAACCGCCATAGACTTCAATGGGCAGGCGAATTTTAAAACACACAGGGACTCTTTCTGGCTACAATAGGGATGGAAAAGTTGTTTCAAGGGGACTAACACCTGGACTGTGGCATGCCGGAGGGGGATCCATGGCAAAACTCCCATGGAAAATTACACAGTTGATGCAGAGTCTGGTTTTAATCCATAAAGGTCAGAAATTACCTAACATTCCTAAATCACAATGAATATGGATTGACACCTGACATATGACATATTGACACCTTGACATATGGATTGACACCTGTCCTCAGAGCCCCTGATGCACACGGACACAGAGCAGAATAGGGACTGGTCCCCCTACATAGGGTCACTTGGCACATATGGATTGACACCTATACTAAGGATCCCTGACACACACTGACAAAGAGCAGAATAGAGACTGTTCCCCCTACATAGGGTCACTTGGCAGATATGGATTGACACCTGTCCTCAGAGACCATGATACACACTGACACAGAGCAGAATAGAGACTGTTCCCCCTACATAGGGTCACTTGGCAGATATGGATTGACACCTGTCCTCACCTGATACACACTGACACAGAGCCTCTACATAGGGTCACCTGACAGAGACCATGATACACACTGACACAGAGCAGAATAGAGACTGTTCCCCTACATAGGGTCACTTGGCAGATATGGATTGACACCTGTCCTCAGAGACCATGATACACACTGACACAGAGCAGAATAGGACTGTTCCCCTACATAGGGTCACTTGGCAGATATGGATTGACACCTGTCCTAAGGATCCCTGATACACACTGACACAGAGCAGAATAGGGACTGTTCCCCCTACATAGGGTCACTTGGCAGATATGGATTGACACCTATCCTAAGGATCCCTGATACACACTGACACAGAGCAGAATAGAGACTGTTCCCCCTACATAGGGTCACTTGGCAGATATGGATTGACACCTGTCCTCAGAGACCATGATACACACTGACACAGAGCAGAATAGAGACTGTTCCCCCTACATAGGGTCACTTGGCAGATATGGATTGACACCTGTCCTCAGAGACCATGATACACACTGACACAGAGCAGAATAGAGACTGTTCTCCTACATAGGGTCACTTGGCAGATATGGATTGACACCTGTCCTCAGAGATCCTGATACACACTGACACAGAGCAGAATAGAGACTGTTTCCCCTACATAGGGTCACTTGGCAGATATGGATTGACACCTGTCCTCAGAGACCATGATACACACTGACACAGAGCAGAATAGAGACTGTTCCCCTACATAGGGTCACTTGGCAGATATGGATTGACACCTGTCCTCAGAGACCATGATACACTGACACAGAGCAGAATAGAGACTGTTCCCCTACATAGGGTCACTTGGCAGATATGGAGTGACACCTGTCCTCAGAGACCATGATACACACTGACACAGAGCAGAATAGAGACTGTTCCTCCTACATAGGGTCACTTGGCAGATATGGATTGACACCTGTCCTCAGAGACCATGATACACACTGACACAGAGCAGAATAGAGACTGTTCCCCCTACATAGGGTCACTTGGCAGATATGGATTGACACCTGTCCTCAGAGACCATGATACACACTGACACAGAGCAGAATATAGACTGTTCCTCCTACATAGGGTCACTAAGCAGATATGGATTGACACCTGTCCTCAGAGCCCCTGATACACACTGACACAGAGCAGAATAGAGACTGTTCCCCCTATATAGGGTCACTTGGCAGATATGGATTGACACCTGTCCTCAGAGCCCCTGATACACACTGACACAGAGCAGAATAGAGACTGTTCTCCTGCATAGGGTCACTTGGCAGATATGGATTGACACCTGTCCTCAGAGATCATGATACACACCGACACAGAGCAGAATAGAGACTGTTCTCCCTACATAGGGTCACTTGGCAGATATGGATTGACACCTGTCCTCAGAGACCATGATACACACTGACACAGAGCAGAATAGAGACTGTTCTCCCACATAGGGTCACTTGGCAGATATGGATTGACACCTGTCCTCAGAGCCCCTGATACACACTGACACAGAGCAGAATAGAGACTGTTCTCCTACATAGGGTCACTTGGCAGATATGGATTGACACCCGTCCTAAGGATCCCTGATACACTCTGACACAGAGCAGAATAGAGACTGCTCTTCCTACATAGGGTCAATTGGCAGATATGGATTGACACCTGTCCTCAGAGCCCCTGATACACACTGACACAGAGCAGAATAGAGTCTGTTCCCCCTACATAGGGTCACTTGGCAGATATGGATTGACACCTGTCCTCAGAGCCCCTGATCCACACTGACACAGAGCAGAATAGAGACTGTTCCTCCTACATAGGGTCACTTGGCAGATATGGATTGACACCTGTCCTCAGAGACCATGATACACACTGACACAGAGCAGACTAGAGACTGTTC